TAATTGTCTGAGAAAAGCTTTGTCAAACTGACAAATACAAATAAAGAGATAGAGATATTAATATATTTCTCTCTAATTAGAATTCTCGACCATATTATCATGGCGACACAAACATTGTTTACTGTCCTCTCTTTACTACTTACTTACTCTGAGACATGAATAGATCTTACCTATTTTGGTTAATTAAAGAACGCCACATTGGGGTTGTTAGATTTGTTCATGTGGCATGTGTTACTAATGCAATACGTTCTCCGACTTATTGTAATAATACAAAATATAATTATTGGCCTTAAATTTCACACAAAAACAGCCACAACTATTTCGCTTAGTTCATCTAGAGGATAACACAATCATGAACTCAAAATTTAAATTCAGGATTCTTCGATATACATAAAACTGACATTTATATTTACAAACTGACCACTGGAGTGCGTTTAGAAACCTCGCACGGCGCGTCTGGACCCTATTCTATTGCTGCGTTTGAGAATCCACATCGGATGCATTTTTTACATCTCGAGCGTTTTTTTTATCCACATCGGACACATCTGTCCCATTACATTTACGTATACTGCATCACGTGATCAAAGATTTTTTACATCTCAGATGCATCCGATGTGGATTCTCAAACGCAGCATTTGTATGTGGCCAGACGCGCCGTGCGAGGTTTCTAAACGCACTCCTGCTGTCCACGTCTACTATCTGTCTCAGTGTTGCCAACCGTACGCTTTAAATCGTATTTATACGATTTTTTAACTCTCTGTACGATTGCATCAGTGAAATCGTACGTAAAAATATGATCTTCACTTTTTTAGTAGGTTTATTTAAATATCTGCAACAACTTTAGAATATAAAACAATAGAAATCAAAAACTACTTGCAAAGATTCATAGGCCGTTCGTAATTTCTGAAAGCAGTCATTTTCGTTCTGACTTATTGTGATTTTGACCACGCTGATTTTGTACACCGACTATCACGGCATAAGAAAAGCTGGCATGCAAAATTTAATCACTTTCAAGTGATAGTCATAGATTACTTTAAATGTGTTAATTTAAAGTTTCATGTATTTTCTTTAGTTTTTTTTTTCGTTGTAAACATTTTTATAAATAGATAAAGAAATTATCATGTCATTCCATTTAAGTTATATTATGCTATGCATCTATCTATTGTACAATTTTCTTGTCGAAATACCATTTTTCTACTCTACATATGCTGCGTTTGAGAATCCACATCGGATGCATTTTTTACATCTCGAGCGTTTTTTTATCCACATCGGACACATCTGTCCCATTACATTTACGTATACTGCATCACGTGATCAAAGATTTTTTACATCTCAGATGCATCCGATGTGGATTCTCAAACGCAGCATTATACGATCTCTCAAAAAAAATATTTGGCAACACTGGTCTCTCTACAAACGACGTAGACCTGTAGTTAACATCTGAGACGCTAGATGTCGCCAATGTTGCTGCGGTCGTTGCGTTTCCAATCTTTATGTCCCTTATCTCTGCTCCCGTGTAAAATCATCTGAACGCGCTCCAGTTCATTGGCCTAAGCGTGTACTGTCAAAAGAAGGGTGACAAGTGACAGGCAACAGGCACTCTCATAGAAAAATAAATAAAACTAGGCTTGTTTTGGTTATTTCGCGAACTAATTCAGAATCAGTAAATTACACTCGTTCAGCTCAATGCGTCGATTATAAAAATGAAGTCGTCAACTGTATTTGAGAACTAGAATTGGCAGTTTTTATTTTTCTATGGGCAGTTCTGTTTGAACCATAGATAAACTAATAAAGAAGATGGTCGGATTCTGTGTTAATCAAAGAAGTAGAGAGGGTAGAACGATAAGGTACCGTCTGCGCATCCATCACGAGTGTAGAAATTATGCGTGATTCGGCCTTCCACTCTTACACACGTAAATGACAAGGAGAGGTTGCCCTAAAGCACTGTAAACAAATTCCAGGATCGACTTTATTCAGCGATTATGTTCATGTTCAGTTCTGTTTTTTGTTTGTGTTTTGGCTGTTGTAAGCTTTTTTGGCGTCAATTCTTTGTTATCTTGCTTATATTTATGATTTTTTATGCTTTTATTCCGATTTAGTATTAAATTATACTTGTTAATTATTTTTCGATGCACTATTTTATAATTGTTGCACAAAATGTTGTTAAACCGTCCCTGAATTTTGTTTACAAAATGTGCAAAACGAAATTGTGCATAGTGTCCAGACTTTTTCATTGACAGTTATCATTCTACCCCTCTCCACTTCATTGGTGTTAATCTTTGGAAACGTAGTGCTGCGAATTAGTATGGAACGGATCTTTTTTGAACTACACTGGCTGATTGATTTGTCAGTAAGAGGCATAAAAAAAGAAGAGTGTCAACGTAACCGCGGTTCATTTAAATATCTTTATTTATTTATTTATTTATATTTTTTGGGGTTCATTAAAAAGAAAAACTAATATTTATATTAAAATATTGTATTTAACATATATATTAGTTTTTTTTAGTTATAAAACCCCAAAAAATGTATACAAAAATGTAGACAAAAAATATTTACACTGAAATAAAATATAAGACAAATATATTTAAATTATTTATTATACAGTAATACATACATAATGTGTTAATAAAGAACAATTGTAAGTGAAATGAATACTAGTTTCCCCACATTCTTGTAAAAATGGACCATACTTTGATGGGCGTCAGGTGTTTCCTATAAAAACAAAACAAAAAGTGTACATATATGTTATTGAACAATTTCTCTTATCAAAATGTTGACCATTTTTATAAAACTAAGTTATTTTTAATTATTTGACGAAGATTGAGAACGACGCAGTACGTGGAGTGTTCAATCATCTGAGTGCGATAAGGACAATCCACTCTAGTTGTACAGAATATTTTTTCTACGACCCTCTAACGAAAATTTACAATTATTTAAAATTATTTTGGGTAACTAAGATAAAATTTCCAATTTAAAAATAATTTATGACTTACTAATTTATTTTCATAATTAATTTCAATAACTAAAAAATATACTGACAATTAGTTTGACAAAATTGTGACATTTAAAATTTAAAAAATTAATAATAGCCCAGTGAACAAATAATGAACTGTGACTGGTGGATTTCATATCCATGCAGTGTTCTTACTAGGTAGAATGGATATATGACTTGAACCCAATGGCTTACTTTTTCATTTTGTAGTCTGTGAGTAGAATAGCTATATCCATGTGGGTGTGGAAAAAAACATCAAATCACAAACAGTTGCTAAAACCTTTAAACCTATATTTTGAAGAGCCGTAATAACCTCTTTTAATTAACTCAATAAGATCTTTACTATTTATAGCATGACGTGTAAAATAATATGCTATAGGCTGTTTCCAAACTCTTCTTAAACTGTGAATCATAAAAACTAAAGCATGATCGGCTACTTCTGGGCGTCTACCTAATTTTTTTCCCAAGTCAACATATCCAACAATTTTGTCATTAACTGTATCAAAAGTGAGTTTTTCGGTTAGAGCTATTTCGTCGAACATTAAAATACAATTCCTATCAATTTCTGGCATTTTTCTAACAATTTCTTTAAATCTGGAAAACACTGAATCATTTATCCCCGTTTCAAAAGGTAAATCACTTAAAATTTGTTGGATAGTAGATTTACTAGGCAACGAAATGCATTTTCTTAAAAAATTATATGCTCTTGGACCATTTTAATATAATGCTAAAGAAAAAATGTTATTCTGAGTGGTCCAAGAGGGTTTCTTTCTCTTACAATTTTCTAAACTACTTTTAAAGAATTTAATTCCAATCGGATCTAATTTATTATTAAAATCTGAAAATAACTGAGTTTTGGATAATTCAAAGGCTTTCTTGATTTTATTTTTGGAAACACGTAGAGCTTTCTTTAGCTTACAAATTCTAACGTTTTGTTCTCTATTAATAAAATACAGCTTTTTCTCTTTGGGACTTAAATTTTTGACTTTACTTTCATTTATTTGTTGCAAAACAGTTTTTCTCCGTTTGGAGGGTTGTTCAAATTGTACATCACTAATATTTAGTTTACGTTTGCAACTAATTTCTTGATTTTCGTTGCTGATTAGCAAATCTATCTTATGCTGCTGTGTTTGTGCTTCAGCCTCAATATATTCTGAAATCTGACTCTCGGGTTGTATATTTGAACTGGATGCATAATTATCTAAAGAAATTGGTACAGAATGTACAACTAGTCGTTTACGTTTTGAGGAAACCTTACTAAAAGACTGGCAAAAAATGATCTTCACAAAGATAGCGAGTATTATTATCTAAAGTTAAATTTAAATTCTTAAACCAGTTCTGGCGAACTTTAACATCAGAAGGAAAATGAAAAAAATGCTTTATTTGAATAACCAACTTGCTGAATATTAGAATAATACTTATTTAAACAATTAGGAGCTGAACAAGAATACTTAACCAGACAACCCGGGCCAGATATTTTTGTTTCAAATATTAGAAAAGGAATTGTTGAAATATGAAATTAGATACCTATATATCGTTAAGGCTAAGAAAACAATGATAAACAAAGTCCTTAAATACTTAATATTAAATTAAAGTTAATACTTACTAATTACATCAAATCAGCACCGTTTGTTTCTTAACCTAAAAATAACTTACCTACCTATGTAACTTACATCATAAAATAAAAATAAGTTTTATTTTATCATCATATCCCGCCTTCCGCCATCACGTTTTTCATTTTTTACAAGGTTGTCAATCCCGTCTTTTAAAAATCTCAGCAATAGTATGGACATTGTATGGACGGTATGGTGCGCATGTAGATTGATAAAAAATTAAAATAAAATGAATTTGAAATAACTATCATCTCATGAAAGTTTACGGAAACCGGCAACATCGCTTTCATACTATTGCGATGGTGGCGCTAACTAATAGTATGCTGGGAACTACGCCGTGTTGACAGTGGCGGGCATTTAATAAATTCATCTTGTTTTATATTAATTTATCTATGGTTTGAACTAAAACAAACCCACTCTAAATCACGTGACTTTAAATGGTGGCCGATTGGCAAATATAATCAAATATAACAACAAAAGTCTAGCCATCAAAACATTCAAAAGGACGTAGGTAAATCTTTGAGAGTACAAGTTTTTTTTTATATTGGTGTCATCGGCTTCGACTTACTAAGGCCATTTAACGTCATTTTCTGTGTAGGCTTTGTCACTGTTTCCCAGCGCCACTTTAGGAACAGCACTGTTAATTAGAACCCAACAGTGAATGGCCGAGTGGGGAATCCTACCAATTTATTTTTAAAAGTAAAAAGGGTGTCCTACCTACTGCTGTTTTAACAGTGTTATGAACCCACTCAATATTTTTACACGAAATTTGGAGGATGTGACTATCTATTAGAAGCATTACCTTCACTATCCTATCTCTACAGCGTACACATTAATGGTAAGTTAACTAATTGATAGAAGATAAGTGATACTCTCGTTTTTGTTACTCATTGACTTACTATTGCTAATCTCTATAATTCCTTCTTTTTAACGGAGATTAAAATGACGTTGTTATTGTCAAAATGTCATTTTAAACTTCGTTTAACACAACGGTGGAATCCGTCCTAATTCAAATTTTTTAGGAGTACTCTCTAAAATTTGCAAAAGTACTCATTTGAATCCGATGTGGATTCTCAAACGCGACAAAAGTACTCATACTCATCATATACTTACTGAGTGTTTTTTTTATTTGAAGATCTTGAAACTGAAGTTTAAAGGTATATGTTACCAAATTATTTTTAATGGTTCTATTACATCACTGGTATACTTTTAAGCAAGTAGTTTAAAGGTATATGTTAAATTATTTTTAATGGTTCTGTTACATCACTGGTATACTTTTAAGCAATAGCCTCTCATCTGTAAGGGTTGTAGAGTTACAGCCCCTCATTACAAAGGGAAAACAATTATATAAATATAAAATGAAAATGTATTGTGTCATCTGCCTCGAGAATCTAACTCTCCTCCCTCTACCTAAGGCATGAATGCACCACATTCTTAAAACTGAACATTTGCATGTTCTTGGTATTGGCATTGTACAGACAATATATTTGTAAATCTATTTAGGTTGAATATTCCTATACATGTTTTTTTTTTTCGATACTAACTTAATGAATACAAAAAAAATAGGTGTGCCACTCGGGGACTGCCGCGGTATAGCTATTGCATAGCATTTTTTATCAACTTATGCACTTATAATTATTTATTTATTTTATTAATGCAGTATTTTTTTTCTTTTATATTAATTCAAGTTTTTTCTTTGATATTAATTCAAGTTACACTTTTTGAGCATGGTGACCGATAAGAAAACAATTTTTTTTCTTTTATTGAATAAATGAGAAGTTAATATTGTTTAAAATATTTTTATTATCTTACAATACATGTAGGTTATTCAGGAATTTTTATCATTGAAACTATAGGTTTATGGTAACTGAAATAAGAAACATAAGTTTGAGACTTGATATCCTCTAAATATCTGGAAAATACCGCGTCAATGATGGTCCCATATTTTGTTGTGGATTCTTGTGGATCATTATTCATTTTCAAATTCAATTTTTCCGAAATTGTGTCTGAAAGAGATATAATCAGTTATGAGCAGTTAGCAGCTAGTCTACACGCATACGTCTAGTCGCACGCACACAAACACCGTGCCGAAGTCTACCGAACTGAAACGACGTTAGACGATGCACGGCTTTCAACGCCGCACCGCTTTGCTGGTCAGAGTGGGGGGGTGTTAGGTTTATTTTCGTTACGGAATTTCTTGATTCGGTCGCCGCGCTCAATGCCCGCGATAAAAGCTATGCAATAGCTTAACATTTAATAATTACTTATTTTTGTAGTGTTCCAAGGGATAGGTAGGCATAGATCTTTATGGGTAAGAGCATTAAATATACCTGAATATTCTGCCAAGTACACATGGGTGTGTAGTAATCATTTCAACCTGACAAATTTTGTTGTGAACTTAGGGGCAAAAAAAATTGAAGGAAGATGTTGTCCCTAACGAGAGGTATGATACATACTTGATTATTTCTAAATGCTTATTGTGATAATATTAAAAAAAAAAACATTTACAGTGAGAGACTTTCTTTGTATGTTTTACAAAGAGCAGAGTATTGCTCATTTTCTACACTATCAGGACAAGGGACAACTAGTCCATCTTCTACCCCAACTGCTTCTGAACATGGAATGAAGAATAGTCCAACCTCTACCCCAATGGCTTCTGAACATATAATGAAGAACAATCCAGCCTCTACCCTAATGGCTTCTGAGTATGGAATGAAGAACAGTCCAGCCTCTACTCCAACGGCTTCTGAAAATGGAATGAAGAACAGTCCAGCTTCTACCCCAACGGCTTCTGAACATGGAATGAATGATCCATCTATTCACCTAGTTGATTGGGAAACTGTTTTCTCCAGTGGTTCAATCAATGAAAATTCACTCATGGCTTCTGAACATGGAATAAAGAACAGTCCAGCTTCTACCCCAACTACTTCTGAACATCCAATGAAAAGCAGTCCAGCCTCTACTCCAACGGCTTCTGAACATGGAATAAAGAACAGCCCATCCTCTACCCAAACTGTTTCTGAATGTGGAATGAATGGTTCATCTGTTCCACTCTTTGATTGGGAACCTATTTTTTCCCGTAGTTCAATCAATGAAAATTCACATACGGCTTCTGAACATGAAATAAAGAACAGTCCACCTTCCACCCCAACTATTTTTGAATTTGAACATGAAACGAACAGTCTATCCTCTACTACAACTGCTTCTGAACGTGGAATGAATAATGCATCCCCTACCCCAACTATTTCATCAAATAGTTCAATCAATGAAAATGCACCCAAAGCAAAAAAGCCACCGAGAAAAAAGTAAGCATCTTGATTTACTCAATTGTAAAAATAATTTGTGGTGAAGCTTTTCGAATAATACTGGTTTTTGTTTATTTCAGATTTAACGTTAATCCTAGATATTTAGGAGATGTATCAGCTAGTGATATGGAGAATCCTATGATTAGCCGCAGAATTTTAAAACTCAGTAAACAAAAGATTTTACAACAAAACCGAAAAATTTGTGCACTACAAACAGATAACAGAAAATTAAAACATAAAGTTCAGAAATTAAGTGCACTAACTAAACACCTTCAACAGTGTCTTTTTAAATGTTGGGGTCGCCATTAGTGATAATTAGAAAACATAATATACCAAGTGACTTATGAATTACTACCGAACCTGAATAACTTTTTTGCAATAATGACTATTCAGAAAACAGACTATTTCTCACAAAACTTAAAGTATAAAGAAGAAATAAGAGATGTGTGGGCAATCGTGGGCAAAGTAAATACCTCGAGAATGCTTTTATGTTTTTTATACCAAGATGGAAATTGTTAATAAAATCATACACTATTAATACGTGCCCAAAGATTCCGATCGATAGCTATTTGGAATTGCCCCTAATAAAGATTGTTGTTCATCTTTCTTCATACACTAAGCACTCAGTTATTCCTTCTTACCTCATCTAGATTATTTAATATCTATTAATAAATTATGAAAGACTGTTTTCAATAATCATTACAATAAACAAAAATGTACTGAAAAAAATAATAATCTGGAACAAGTATAAGTTTTATTATGCACATGTGTGTAAGAAGCTGTACAATTCTGATTATTTTCTGTATAAAATCATGCACATACATTTTCAGAAACTAACCTACATAATTATTGCTAACTAATAGTAATTATTATTATTAACTGAATGATTGCTGTGGAACAAGTATAGTCTCCCAAATTCCCAAATATTCATAATTGAGACACTTTCGCAATTCGAATTGTTTGTATTTTTATAATATTGTTTTTATTTAAGACAAAACGTGTTAGAAATATTCACCTATCTAAATTCAATACCTATAACTTGAATTCAACATTTAAATTTAAAAAACATTATGCCATAAATGCAAATTGCCTTCAAATAAAAAAAAATATGAAATGCAAATATCACATGCCCGTTTAGTTTAGAGCAAATTTATTTTTATTATAATGCTTATAAAAGTTATTAAAAAAAAAACAGAATCCAAAATCGTGTTAAATCGTTAAAAATTTAGTTTGTTGATTTTCTCATAAATCACCAGATCTTTACCAAATTTATATAGGACCACCCCTGACAAAAGAAGAATAATACAAATCGGATAAGGTGGTAAAGAACATTCATAAAAAATTAAGAATTTGATGATTTTCTCATGGACTCAATTATTAGATCTTGACCAAATTTATATGGGACCACCCCTGAAGTACCCCCTTTCTAAGAAGAAAAAAAAGCCTCAGAAATTGGACAATGTGGTAAAGAATTATCGGTGAACATATTATGTAAAAAAAAAATATTCCGACCAATTGAGAACCTCCTCATTTTTTTTGAAGTCGGTTAAAAAAATAAAGATGAGGTTCTCAATTCGTCAGAATATTTTTTTTATGTATATTCGGTTGTGCATCTTTACCACATCCGATTTCTATGATTATTAGAAAGGGGTAGTCCCATATAAATTTGGCCAAGATCTGATTATAGGATCCATGAGAAAATCATCTTCTCTTCCTTTTTGGAGTCGATTTTATGAAATAACTTATAACTTAAAATCCTTCCCTCCATCTAAATAAAAAATACATGTCCAAGTACTCTCGGTTTAAAAAGTTATTGCCATAAAATTATATAACATCCTGTATAAGTGAAATAGACTTAAATGATCCTCTAATTACTGTACCTATACAACTTCCAAATATTTTAATTTACCTTTTCTAATAACTACACTAAACCAGAACTTAATTGAGAAACCCTGTGTAAGAAGTATTTTTATTGAATTTTGTAAATATTTTCTAAAATATTTTGTATGGTGATCAACTGTTTTAACTATTTTCCTATTGTTTTATAAGGATGATAAAATTAAAAATAAAATGAAAACTCCGCTGTATTCTGCTTACTCTTTTATTTTAATATCTATTTATGCAACCAGTTACGAAATGCCTTATTAGGGACCAAAACAACATTATTACTAGGTTCACCAAATCAAATTCTATTTTCATATACCTTCCCTTCTTTGATATAAACTTTCAATAATAATGTATATATTGATTTTAAAACCAAAAAAATGTTTATTTTTATTTGTTTTCTTTTTGCAACTGGTGACGTAATGAATTGTTTCTAATTTTTACATATAATGTGACATTTTTTGTAATCGCAACAAGTGTCAAAATGATCTACTTTACATAACCAGTTGCACAATGTTAAACATTATGAAACTGGTTACGGAAAATTCATTGTCACCAGTTGCGAAAAGAAAACAAATAAAACTGAACCTTTTTTTGGTTTTAAAATCAATACAGGGTGCCCCATTGAAAAGTAGCCAGTTTCCATTTAATAAAATTTGGTTACGGTGAATTTAAAAGAGGAGATTTTTAAAAAACTCCCTGTATAGGTAATACATAATTTCTGTGTCACTGAAGCAAAACTTATAGCAAAATAACACATATCAGCAAAAACCGCACGTTTCTACGATTTGTTTAAAAGTTATAAGCTCTGGAAATGGGCTACTTTTCATTGGGACACCCTGTATTTACATTCTTATTGAAAGTTTATATCAAAGAAGGACAGGTTGACTCAGAAATATAAATTGGTTAAACTTACAACCTAGTAATAACGTTGTTTTGGTCCTTATTTTCCATTTTAAATCAGCACAAAATAATTAAAACAATACAGGACAAAATAACCCACTTTCTTGAAAACTAAATCCCTTTAACAAGCAATATAAACACACTACAACGGGCATAAATGAATATGATTTTCTCTTTGTCAATAAAATGATTGAAGTTAAGCATATGCATCTAACAACACAAGAAAGTAATATTGGTTGCCTAGATGTCAGTATTTTTTTTTCTAAAAAAAAAAAAACAATTTTATAAATAATTAGTCAAAATTAGAAAAAATATTTTATGTAACACGTTACGAAATAACCTGTCAGATTAAAACAGGAAAACCGACAATTCCGAAGCAGAAGAAGATGATTAAAACGCACCAATTAAAAATATTGCGCCAAGATGTAAGCAACACGTAATAAGGGATCAAAATGGCGGAGTTTTCTATCTCCTTTTAAAAGGCACTTAGAAAGCTGCGCAGTGCGACCATTCTCCGTATTGGGATCTGAAGATAAGCGATACGCCCTCTACTGGAGTGCGTTTAGAAACCACGCACGGCGCGTCTGGACCCTATTCTAATGTACGTGGTCAGGCGCGCCGTACGAGGTTTCTAAACGCACTCCTGTAGGCGAGTTCGGTCAGTCAGGGGCTGGAGCGGGACAAATTTTAGGGTGCTTTTAAATGACATTTAAGCGTGTTAAACTGAGCTATGTCAAGCTAGCGGGCACTCTGTGGCGGCACCATACAAGACCTGGTGGGTTTTTTGTAGCTTTTTTGTAGCTTTTTTGTTACGCTATTTGCGAATTTGTAGCTTTGCCCAGGTCCGAAAAAACAGCGGATCCGCTAGCTTGAATTTCCATAAATTCCATAGTAGCGGCACAGATTCAGACCCAGCTGGTTTTTCGTAACTTTTTTGTAGCTTTTTTGTTACGCTATCCTCCCTTTTGTAGCTTGTACTGAACCTGAGAAAAGCGCGGATCCGCTAGCTTAGCGGATATTTGTAGCGGCACCAGCCCGGACCCGGCTCATTTTTTGTAACTTTTTTGTAGCTTTTTTGTTACGCCTGTCTCCATTTCGTTGCGAGGCCTGAACGTGAGTAATAATCGTTTCTCCATGAGCGTGAGAGAAAAGTGCGTTAATTTAAAATCAAGTTTCGGCCACTACAAGTGGTATGTGCATTGTGCAACTCGATAGTGTGAGTATCTGTTGCTAGATGGCACCAGTATTGCATTTCATGAATTATGGCCATCTTCCATCCAATATATTTTTGAGAAATTTAGATATAATCTCAAAATCGGACATTTTCAACGGTATGTATATTAATTATTTGTCCGATATTAATGTAAAATACATATTGACAAGATTATTAAAATAGTTGTATGCCGGACGCCACTATTTTCCCGATCGGGTGTTTTCGGTTATTTTTACTGCTAAAAACTTACTGCTAACTTCACACCGGTGGTAATAGCTACCAAGCAATTACCTATTCTCACTATATACAGGCACCCCGTATAGTTCTTATCCCATAGTAATTGGAAAAATTTCCCGAAACACGTCTGATGATTTTCTTTGGGGGACATCTTTTTGACGTATATTTGAGGCTTGAACGAGCAACCCCCTATAAGAGGGCGCTTTAACCCCTCAAAATTAAATAGGAAAGAGGGGTTGGGTGATACTTCATTTGTAAGGTCCTGGAAGCCTCTTTACAACGGTGTATAAAAAAAATCACATTATTAAAAAAATAAATTGTTTTATCATGCTTACAATCAAAAAAATCAAAACTGCGTTTTTAAATGAAATGTTCAATTTGTCTTCCATTGACTTCCATGCAATAATAAATTCTCTCGAAGTAATAAATAAAAAAAAATCAAAACATTTTCTTATCTTGCCTTCATTTTTTGTTCTTAGAAGGTGTTTATCACGTTTCTTCGATCATTTCATATGATAAAACAATTAATTTTTTTTAAGAATGTGATTTTTTTCATACACCGTTGTAAAGAGGCTTTCAAGACCTTACAAATGATATATATCACTCATCCCTTCTTCCTTATTCCATTTTGAGGGGTTGAACCGCCCCCTCATAGGGGGTTGCTGGTTCAAGCCTCAAATATACGTCAAAAGATGTCCCCCAGAGAAAATCATCCGACTTGTTTCGGGAAATTTTTCCTATTTACTATGGGATAAGAAATATACGGGGTGGCTCGTCTGAGATGGAACACACTGTATAGTTGTGATCCGACAGAATTAAACACTGGTCCATAAATACTGCAAAACGAGTGGTTAAGGAAATCATTCAAAAAAGATGTAAGAATATTCTTGATTCAACAAAAGTATAAATACATAAACAACACTAAAAAACATTTAAAAACAAATGTCCGATTTTGAGATTATATCTAAATTTCTCAAAAATATATTGGATAGAAGATGGCCATAATTCGTGAAATGCAATACTGGTGCCATCTATCAACAGATAGTCACACTATCGAGTTGCACCTAATACTTGTAGAGGTCGAAAATTGATTTTAAATTAACGCACATTTCTATCACGCTCGTGGAGGAACGATTATTACTCACGTTCATGCCTCGCAACGAAATCGAGACAGGCGTAACAAAAAAGCTACAAAAAAGTTACAAAAAATGAGCCGAGTCCGGGCTGGTGCCGCTACAAATATCCGCTAAGCTAGCGGATCCGCGCTTTTCTCAGGTTCAGTACAAGCTACAAAAGGGAGACTAGCGTAACAAAAAAGCTACAAAAAAGTTACGAAAAACTAGCTGGGTCTGAATCTGTGCCGCTATTATGGAATTTATGGAAATTCAAGCTAGCGGATCCGCTGTTTTTTCGGACCTGGGCTAAGCTACAAATTTGCAAATAGCGTAACAAAAAAGCTACAAAAAAGCTACAAAAAACCCGCCAGGTCTTGAATGGTGCCGCCACAGAGTGCCCGCTAGCTTGATAGAGCCGTTAAACTGTCACTAATCGGACTAAACCGAACGCTAAAAGAGTCGTTTGGAGTTAAAAGTGTTAAAGGAACGTGGCAAACCGAACGCAATGTGTGAACTAAAAGTTATGGCATTTGACACTTGACCGTCTGTGTTCTGTCAAATTTTATTTATCAGGTCATGTCAATAAATGTTATTTTAAAATTTAACAAGTATTTTGTTTGAAATATCTTATTTAATAATAAGCTAATACTTTAAATTTTTATCATAAATATTAAAATATTATATTAGTTGGACTATAAGTGGAATATCAGTGAAAAACACACTTGTGTGCCTCAATGCAGCCCTAAAACAAATGGACCCTTCTTTTTACATTTCGTCTGCTTCCTAAAATTGGTAAATGTAGGGTAATTTTTATAAAATGCAAGTGGAAATTCTGCAAGAAATGCATGGTTACAAAAGTTGAGAAGCCAGTATCAAAGTATTTGAAAGTTTGTTCCCATGCACAGCATTTTAAAGAAGATAATTATTTGCCTAGAGGTAATATAGATTTATTTTTCGATTGAATGTTTTTATTTTACCTTTTTTGTGTTGTAGATGCATCATCCAAAGTGAAAATAAATATTAAAAAAAATCGCTGTGCCTTCCTAAGAGTTTTTAAGTAAATGTTTGATGATTCTGTTCGATAAACCTCAAAATCAAATATTGATAGAACAAATAGAAGATCCAAACTAAAAAAAAGTTCAATCAGTGTTAAATGTGATAGTGAGAATAAACAAGTCATAGTTGAGAGTGAGCCTAGCTACTCACACCAAACAAGACATAGAGGTTGCAAATACTCTTTTTCAAGTGTTTTGACATTAGTGTACAAGTGCATGCCCCAAAAATTAAAACAATTTCAGATCTTTTAAAATCTAACAGTTTTGTTCATTCACTGGCATTAATAACTTTAACATACTGTACTAGAAAATACAGTGAAATCAGCTGAAGTACTTCAGAAGATGGCCTATTGGGTACATAGATAAATTAATATTAATTTATCTATGATTGGGTATTGTAACTGTAAAGAACGTTTATTATATTATGTAAACATTGGCATATTTTAACAGGAAAAATAAAAAATATTTGATTTTTATATTTATTGCTTATAATAATAGCCTTTTTACCAACAGACTCAACTATTCCATTACAGAATAATATAAAAAATACATTATCAATGTACAATCACTCATTACAAAATGTAACTGTACACAATGACTAGTAAACTTAAGAATAATAAAAGTAATTATTAAAAAGAGTATTCTCTCAAGTACAAAATCAATCATAAATTTCAAGCTGTACATTTTCATTTAATGTCTTAAAGAAGAGATCACATGAGTTACTTATGTTATTAATATAATTTATTCACACAATATCCAAACATTAAAAACATCAGTGCATTAAAGAGGTGAGATGAGTAAGAACACTTGCGAAGTGTCATACATTTGTAAAAGAATAAGTAACATGAATTAAATAATATATTATAAAAATATTAAGACTAAAAACTAGTACAAACTAGAAATTAAAATTATGACTAAGTAAATAGTACCTACTTGTGTTAATAGATGATTTTAGAAGGACAATAATTATTCTGTATCTGTTTTAAAACATCTTGTTAAATAAAATTATGGAACATTGAAGATTATCAAATAGTTTATGCAAACATAAAAGTAAAGCCATAAATATTCTGCTTCCCTACCAAGGACACATGTTTTTTTAATAATCATAAAGTGATTTTAGATTTATTTGAAAATATAAAAGAATATCTTGTGTAGTTCCATTATTTATCGATTCTTCACAATAATCATTTGTAATTATATTTAATCTCAATAACTAAAACATATACTGAAAATTAGTTTGACAGAATTGTCACTCATTTAAAATTTAAGAAAAATAATGATCAAATATGAACTGTGATTGGTGGATTTCATAACTGTAGTGTTCTTCATAGAATGGATAGATATATTCCTTCAATGGCCTACTTTTTCGTTCTGTAGTCAGTGCATAGAATAAATAACATACATGAGGGTGTAGAACAAAATCATAAGGTATTCAATCGAATTAGCTTGATAGTTCTTTGAAACAGTATACCTACACCTATAACACTTTATTAAGACTCCTGAAATATGTTTGCACTGTCCACTGTTCCTAGCTTAAAACAAACTTTGCCATTCACCAATTTCTAACATCTTGTGAATGAGAACTGGCCTACAATAATATGGGGATCTGAATTCAATGCACTAGTTTGGAGAACAACTGCATAAACAGATATATGTTTATCACTAAATTCATTCCACAGGAAAACTAGTGGCCTGCATTTAAAATAGCATCTTCTTTAATAACATTCCTGGAATTTTCAACTAAACCAATATACTTCATAAGTTCTATTAAACAGCCTTATTTCAGACATCTCACTAAAAATAGAATAAATACATTAATATTTTATTAAAAGAACACAAATATCTTAAATTAACATAAATGAATTAAAGTAGCTCAAAAACAAAATTAATAGGGGGTACTTACCAAATAAAAATATACATTTTACTTTAACCTAAAAACTATTGAAATAAAAGTGTCTAATTACAAAAAATTAACAATATGTTTTCCTTAAAATAGCACCAATATAAATTAAATACTTTTTATGGGTTGTTTGTTTACAAACTCAAAAATGTAAACAATAACAAGCCATAACAATTAGTTCAAATATCAAGTACAGACGGCGCTGAGATCTTAATTTTAGATCCCATATAGTATGTGCGTCCTTGAACTAAAATCAAAGTTCGGTTACAACGTCTCTAAAGTTCTAGGTGGTTCTGGTGTTAAACTGGAATTTAGAGATGGATATTAGCAAATCTGTAACTGTTATGTACATTTACGGATTTGTTACTACCCATCTCTAATTTCACGCGATATAACCGAACTTCGATTTTCGTTCAAGGACGACTTACCCAAGTCCGACTCAGCTGAGTTTTGTTTATAAATACGGGCCTTACATTAACAATTGTCATTTTAATCTCTGTTTAACACAACGGTGGAATCGGTCCTAAGTTAAGTTATGTTACGGTGGTTATAAATTATACTTAAGAGTCCAGTTGTGTTAGAAGAATGTTTTTTAAGATATTTGAGTTTTTAAGGACCGATTCCACCATTGTGTTAAACGAAGTTTAAAATGACATTTTTACATTAACAATGTCACTTTAATCTCCATTTAACACAACGGTGGAATCGGCTCTAAGCGTGTTTTTATTAATATTTTTACTATTTAAAAATATATTCAAAAATAGGTCACTTGTCATTGACAACGCGGATAATCAATTTTGTTTTTTGAACTACTCTTCTTTTTCGATTGTCTTTATCTAATCGGTTTGTTGGGGGTAGATCACCTTTTTTGTAATGTTTTCAGCTTATAAACAGAACTCAGCTGAGTCCGATTCAGCTGAGGTTCTGTGCAGCTGAGTTCTGTTTATAAATACGGACCAAGTAAAAAGGGCTTTATAAAAGCAATGTTGCCAAAATTAATTTTCGATTTTGACGTCTGAAAGTGATTTTTTTTTACGATTTGACAGTTTTAAGATGTTCGATGTATCTGTAGTGGGCAAAATAATGAAAAATTGAAATTTTTTGGCTATTAAGACAAAATGGTATTGATTTTTTAATTTGATAATGATTGTTGTAAGTATAGTCATGAAACGTAATGCAAAAATTGGTTTCTTTATAAAATTATTTTAGTTCTCTGGGCTGTCACATCAAATTTAAAAGTGCAAACATGTATGAATCCCCAGATATTTTGGAAGACGTATGTTTAGAAGTAGTTAGCGATAATATTCTGACTTATATTGAGCCCATAGAACTTAAGGAAAGCCTTGATGATAGTTCAGAAGACAGCGAGTCGTGGGAAGTTTTCGATCTAAAGTACAAGTTCAAAGATCCCGAAATTTTTCTCATAAAAGAAATATCTGAAAAATTGCTCAAAAAGTTTGGAGAAAAGAGACTTTTGTGCGATCCCATTTTAAATATATTTACCCAACAAAACACAAAACTGAAAAATTTCAAAGTTAGGAATTGTAGGGTTACAAAAAGTGGTTTGCAAATTTTGAAACAGCATAAGATAGTTAATTTAGAGTGCGTTAATATGAAGAAAATAGGAATTGGAGATATTTTAGGTAAGATTTTTTTAATTTAAAGAAAAATATAACATTTAGTGTTCACATCACAACTAATTACATAAAATTTAAATGATCCAGGTACATGGGTCATACAAAATTAACAAACAAGTAAAAATATCAGTATGGAATAAATCTTATGATTAGAAAATATCACATATATTAATAATTTTGTTAAAATATGTCAAAAATCACAATTATATTTAAACCCTATGCAATCAAATTAAATTTTAGAAAATTGGCTATTGTCCTTGAAATTATAACTAAGGTGATTATATAGGGTCAACTGCATATTTGAATTAACTTCATAGTATTTTTACATTTAAAATGATTATGTAGCAATTATTGGCTTTGGATTCTATGTCCATTCGCCATTTAAATATTTTTGAACATATTACCAACCTCTGTTACAAAACCAATTACATTATAATTTACTTTTGTAATATTTTTTAATTTTTATATATTTTTTTAAAATGTGTTAAATAACTCTCGTTTTGTATCTTGTAAATGCATTGTTGAGTTATACATCTGGAGGGGGTATTAATTAGAATTAATAAATTATCTATCATAAATGTGCTTACTTATATCTTTTTAGATTGCCTAAATGAATGGTCTATAGAAAACCTAATAAGTGCAAATTTTGCCAAATGTAGCTTCATAGACAAGTCTAGGTACAATTTTATGGTAAGAATAACACATTTAGTGAACCTAAGGAGCCTCAATTTAGCCTATACAGAGTTAAATCAAAAAGTGTTTGAGTACATTTGCGAGGATTTAAAACATTTAGAAAAACTTGACATATCTGGTACTCAAGTAGTCGATCTGAGGCCTCTCACTCAACGTGTCTCAACTCTAACAAGTCTGTCTATTTGTGTAAGTAAATAAAATGTACTATTAAATGCCCTAAAAGTTTTGTGACCATAAGTTCGGCGCCCTTTTGCTACATAATGTGAGGTGTTATAGTAAAATTACTATTTTTTGACATGATAATGACAACCAATTACCAGACCTCTCCATAAGAAAACTTTTTTTTTAATGCTGCATAATTGATCATTTTTAAACTTTCGGCTGGCATTTTTATCTCAAAAAATAGTAATTCTGCTCTTAATATACAATATACAGGGTGTTTCGTGAGAAAAGGGAAATATTTTAAGAACATTTTCTGGAATTTGAAATAAGCAAAAAAATCTTATATGAACGTGTGTCAGAAAATAGTTACTCAGAAATTATAAAAAAATCCCTTTTCATAATTTTTTTGAAAATGATTTAGGAGTAATATATGAAAGCTCACTGTACAGGGTAAGACAAGGTATTGGGAAGGTTTCTAATGAAAATGAGGTACAATGCTCTCCTAGAAATTTAACAGCTATAGCAAGAATAGTGTTATGATATAGAGCCATTGGCTGCCAAAACACTTTTCAATCTTCTTGGCATGGATAGAATTAAATGTCGCATTTAGTAGCTCTTCCCAAGCATTTTTAATAACTTCCCATAGTTGACCCTGATTTGCCGGCGTAAAGTCTTTTTGATATATCTTTTTGACTATGAAGCCTCATACATTTTCAGTGAGGTTCAAGTCAAGACTTTTTGCTGGTCATGGCAAAACATTTATGTTGTTGGAGAATTATCATGTATTAAAAATCAATTATTATAAAAATTTACAAGTATATCAAACTAATTTTTACATGTTGAAAGATAAAATTGTCAGAAAAAACTTCTCTTACTGATCGGAGCATCATGTTAAGTTCATGTAATGTTCTGTTGTTAGTTGACCATCAATTTGTCAGCACATTCCAGGACAATTAACACATCCACGCCCAAACATTGATGGAAAAGTGCCCACTATTAGTAGTACTCAACTTATAATTCTCTTTGAAACTTGAGTTTCTAGGATGATAAACTCGTAGCCTTCCACTGTTAGAAGATTGGAATATCTTTTCATCGCTAAATACCATATTGTTCCAAAATTTCTCCCTGTTTAATACAAATTTATTGGCAAACTGGACTCTCCTGCACTTATTTTCTGCAGTTAAAAAACTTTGTGGGTATTCGTGCAGTTTTTAAGCCAGCTTGTTTTAAACGCATTTGAGCTGTTCTGAGAGATCGTGGGAATATTTTTTCTCATGCTTTCACACCAGCTGCAAAAGGATTTGGACAGATATATTCTATGATATAATTGTCTTCAATTTCATTTGACCTTCCCTACACCTTGTCAAAGGTCTTCGCAATATTTGTTCTTACCAGCAATTCTTAAATATAATATTCAACTTTTAATGACATTTAATTCAGCAGCCACTTCACTTAAAGACCAATTTTACTATAGCCCTCGATTTTAAGGCTCAGTTAAATGCTGCAGCATTTTTGAAAATTTATTTAACTACCTATAACTATTAAGAGTTCTCAAATTTAAATTTGACGAATGACTATGATGCAAAGTCTAAATCACAACATTAATTTTTAGCCTTCACATTGTGGTTTCATCAACTCTACAGTAGGTTGGAGTAAAAAGGCCCAATTTTTTTTTTCACTTCAGGTTTGTAATAGTTATCAAAAGTTGCTTGGTTCCGTTATCATTTAAAAAGGTTTTTGGAATCTAAGAAAAAGATTTTCTTGAGGATTCGCCAAGGCTTATAAAAAAAAATTTGAATGAAAAAAAAAAAGGTGCCATTTAGAGATAAAAATATATTTAATTTTTTCTTTTTTCTAATATTTATTTTATTTTTAATTTATTTATTCAAATAGGTACACTACAGAAGAATTGTTATGCTAAATGGTACACAAAATTAAAATATTAAAATGTGTCAAATCAACCAACTTGGGTCACAAAAATACCACATAAAAAAACAAGACAATCAAGAAAAACAAGACAGTGTAAAATTGCATATATATTAAAAAAAATTATTTAGAAAATTTCAAACTGTTCTTTAGCACATACAACGTTTTATTAAATAAGTTTTAGTCGGAGTAAAGTTGATGTAGTTTATAGTTGCCCATACATAGCAAAATTAGAGTTTTCAAAAAATGTCGGAATCTAAAGGGTCCGCCAGAATAAACAAAACTCATTCAAAATTATTATTTTACTCATATTAACCTTACATAGCAGTTCCTCACTTACTTTGTTTAAATAAAAAACGATATTATTATAATACCAATCTAATCAAAACTTTTGCTATTAGGAACATTTAAAACCAAAGAATGGAGATTTCGCACATAATAACATATAAAAAAGTGTAAAAACTGCCTTTTTTATTTACCATAAAAGGGTCTTGCAGACCCACTAGAAATTATGCGATGTGACCCTTGTAGAAACTATTACAATAATGAAATAAAACAATATTTACGATTTTTTTTGCTCCTCCCTATTGTACAGGTTGGTATTCCACAAGTTTTTTTAAATTTTTTCTAGGATTTGTCATCGGCTGAATACATCCCTCAAACTGTAGAAAACCTAAAGGGTCTACGATGTTTAGATGTCAGTTTCTTCATGGACAAAATCGACAACAGTCCCAGTCACCAAAATCTCTTAACCCTACTAGAAGACCCCAACATAGTTCCAGAGTTAGCCCTCCTGGACTTGTCTGGATGGAAGGAATACATCCACAGGCAATTCTTAGTCAAACTCATAGAAACTCATCCTAAATTGCAGGTGCTTGGAATAGTACTATGTTCTGCAACTTTTGATCCGATGTTTTCAGATATATGTGGAGTGGATTATCCGAGACATTTGAATATAGCAGGTTTGGGGAACGAGGAACAGATTAAGGTTACTCTGACAAAGTATAAAGAGAAGTAAGTCAAATTGTTGTAAGTCTGCTTGTTAAATAGAAATATTTATTTGTTTTTAAATATCAAAACAAGAAAAATTATAATAGCCAGCAAAGTAACAATTTTGAATTTCTGAGGAGTTTGAAGGCATCTTTAAAACAATTTAAATAATACTCTCTTTATATTCGAAAAAAAAAGGTTTAAAAAATAGTGTAAATGTTTTGCTGAACAACTTTGAAAATCTGGACTGTTTCTCAAATGACATGTTCAATCTGAAACACCACATATTTATTTTTTAAGGCATACATACATTCAAAAAGCCCTCTACCATCTCTTTCAACTAACCAGCTCATTTCATGAAGCTCGTCCAGATATGTTCAACTTAGTTCTGCCTGTCATGGAAGCACACTGCAATATTTTTGGTGTACAACTTGCAGCCACAGCTTGTCTGTACAATTTGACAAGAGGAGAACTATCAAAAAACATTCACCCAAAGGCCCTCAGCAGAGGGGTAAGTTATTTGCATACCCTATTTTTAGTTTGATATAATATAAATGTTGAAAGCAAAGCGGATTGTAAAAAGCAAAAATGTGAGGATTTTCTAATATTAAATTGTATTTATATGAGCGCCAGTGAGAATACTTTGCGATGTTGTGTCTCGAGAATATTGAGAAGTTTAAATTTGTGCAACGATAAGGCAGCACTCTACAGAGACAGTTAAGAAAAGAAAAAGGTGGGAAAACCTAGATATTTATTAAAACAAAAGGCAAATTTTCATAGATCTTTTAACAATTGTCAAAATAAATTCTTTTTGAAGGCATTCAAAAAGTCCAGGTTTCTCCACCCTAAGTTTTGTTATTATTGGTATTTCCTGAAAATTTCACCAAATTGGACTACAAATAAAGGCTTAGAAGAAATTAGAAATTTTCAAGGTGTTCAGTTTGCTATTAACAGTTAAGATTATTATTTATCATTAAATTTAAAAAAAAATCCATAAACTCTATTTGAAAAACTAATGGTCAGAAATAGTATTCATAATCGTAACATCAGACACATACACACTCTCACCATGCCATCACTTTCAGCCAATTTTGAGTGGTTTTACATCTAATTCTGTTAAAATTATTTAACTTATTTAAACCAGATTTATCATTATCAACTAACACCTTCATCAAAAGAATAAAAAACATATTACTAGCTTGACAATTTTTGTACAAAATCTACTATTGGTAAAATTTTATTCCATATTGTATTTTTTTTTCTCCCTGTAAACTGAAAAGTTGAAGAGTTAAAGAATAGAAGTGTCACACTTTACAATATGTAACAGTTTATTATCTCGCCGGTGGGCGCTAAATCAGAAGTTTTTTTTTAAGTTAAAACCGATAATGTTCAGTGAAAGTCGAAATTTTTTCTGAAATACATTCTGTAAAATCCGACTTATCTGCTATTAAGCTAATAACATCGTCATTAACGACATTTCAGGTGCATATGACATTGTATGCCATGGAATATTTTCCAGAGGAGTTTCAACTACAAAAAAATTCTTTATTGACATTATGCAGTGATAGAATACTGCAAGATGTAAATTTTGACAAATTTAGATGCGCCAAATTGGTACTGGATGCTCTCTGTCAGTTTGAAGATGTCAATATGGATAGAATGGCTGTGGCTATATGCAGTATTTTAGCAGCGAAGGTATTTTATATTTAACATTAACAATTTTATGAAAATCATGGGTTGTGGAATAAGTGTTTCTATTTTATAGTAAGGGAATTAAAGTAGGTAGCATCTAAATCTGATGATTTTGCGATTACTGTCTAAATATAGATCATAAATACGTATCGAAATGTCAAAATTCCTGCTGAAGGTTTTTTAAATTCTGTCATTTCTTCAAGATGTACCAAATTATGTGATGGAATGGTCATAATAATGAATGTGTAACTAGTTGGTTTTCGAAATCCCCCAAGACAAGATATTTTATGGCCTAATTATTAATTGATATACAAAAACTTTTAGGTTTCCACTGATGAAACGTCAAAACTGGGAGCCAGGCCAGAATACATGCGGAAGCTTCTTACTATGGTTAGACGACGGGTTGATACCATGGTGGCGGACATAACCTTAAAGTTTACGCTTAGCGCATTATGGAATTTGACGGACGAATGTGCCGCCACCTGTAAGGTGTTTTTGGAAAATAAAGGCGAGGATTTGTTTTTGTGTGCGTTGAAGATTTTTAGGAATAATTCTGCCATTGAGACTAAAGTTTTAGGTATGTTAAGTCAAACAAACGTCAAGTTGTCTGTACCAGAGAGATGATTGAGTAGTTTAATGAAATTGTAACTTGTAATAATTTGAAATTTAAGGAGGATATACTAATTTAAAAGTACCCAGTGATATGAGTTCAATTTAAAAAATAGTTAATATTTGAAAGCTGCATTTTAATATTTAATGTTTAGGTCTACTAAATAACATAGCCGAAGTTCCTAAACTCAGAAAAAACCTCTTAATGGACACCCTTATGGACGAGTTATCCGACCTTTTACTATCAGAAAATATCGACGTAAGCTATTTTGCCGCAGGCATCGTAGCCCATTTGGCATCGGATGGTCCCGACCAGTGGGACCTTAAGAATCACGCGAGAGATGACATGCTCGAAGAACTGAAAAATGCTGTTACGAATTGGAAGGTAATTAATAATATTAATTATTTTGCTATAATTAAAATTCCAAAGATAATTCTTAGATTTTTTTATATAATTTTTATACTGTAACATTACTGTGATTGACAATATTCTATTTCTTTTATTTGATTTATTTAATACTAGTACGCTACAAATACAAAAGTCTGAATATTTCATATTTATTTATTGTATTTTTACAAGTTTACAATAATTATCATCTCTAATAATATTATAAAACTTACAGACTAGTCTCAATAAAAATGATAGTAAAAAAATTAAAATTTAATATTTACGCCCCCATGCACACCTAGACACGTCAAATAAAGCTAATATGAAAAATAATATGAAGATCAAAGCAGTTAAGACATATAAAACATATTATTTTTTAATAAAAAAAAACTAGAAGCAAAAATATCACACTGCGAATAATGTCTATTATGATTTCTTGCTAACCTATCAATAAATACTTTGAATACCATAATTTGTTCAGTGTAGAGGTTCATAAAGTAATTGCTGTTGCCTCGTCTGTCTTGTTGGGACCATGAAATATATCAGACCAAGTAATATCTCACTGCTAATTTGTATAGAAAAATGACCACAGCTTCCTTACGTCTGCATTCCAGAGTTTTGAACCACACAATAATATCCTTATTTCATATTCAGCATTCTAAAGGTGGAAATGAAAGTTTATAAATACTTTGTGAATCTATTCTGCACTCTTATGAAGATATTTTATTGCAGTGATATCATTGATTTGTTTTGTGTTTCTCCTAAGAAAAGTTGTAATGCTCTATTTTTAATATTTTCAATGTGAATGATAAAGGATAGGTCTTTATCGAAAACATCTCCGAGATCGTTTACGGTTTGTTCCAAAGACAAGCTGTTATTTGCTGTGTTCAATGAGTCTAATGCAGACGTAAAAATACTTTTAAACAATGCAGTAAGTGCTGTTACAGCTGCTGATTGTATTATATGTATTTGACGACTTGATAAAACTTTGGGAAGAAGAATATAAATATTGATTGGACTTATTATTATTATTACCTTTGGAAACGATTATAGTGAAGATTCACATTTGGAGAAAATTTTACAATTTTTTTTTATTTCTTTTAAAAGACTTTTTGTGACTCTGAACTGTTCAGTTTTATCCTCTTCGAAGCATGTTAAGACAATTTTACGTAATGGCGTTTTTGTCAAAATGTACAAAATGATACGTCAAAAAGATAATCTAATTTTATCATCACATATTGCTCATGTGGTACTCTCTACAATAAAATTATAAATAAAATCACATTCCTTGCCACAAATAATAATCTGCAAAATTTGGCAACCATTTTATAAACAGATTGTGAAATGATTATTTAAAAAGCAAACGAATTATTGCAAATTTAACACCCTGTCCTTTTTAATTTTGTATTTTATTAAAGAAAAATTAAAGTAATATTTCGAAGCCAATACTACCATTACGCTATGGGCCATTAATTACGGGCCACCCTGTATTTATTTGATAATGTGGTCATAACATGGCTACTGGCGAAACAACCCTTAAAAAATGTAAGGCGCCCAGGATACTACCTCAGAGGTGGTGTGGAAATGGACCAACAATTATAGACCTTGCTCAGCATTCCATTACACATTCCTGAAGTTTTTCCGCTATACAGTTAACGTAACGGCCCATAAAAGAAAAGAACTTTTATTTTTCCACTATGAAAATAAATGGTTTTCCGGCTATTTGTTAAAATATTTAATTTTTATAACAAAGTTTTTTTAAGAACTAAGGTTTAATTGTATACTTTTTATCATAGGTACCCGAGAGTGAAATGGTGGCCTATAGGAGTTTTAAACCATTTTTCTCTTTATTGAAAGTGAATATGGATTACCAGGTTCAATTATGGGCCGTGTGGGCAATACACTACGTTTGTACAAAAAATCGTGAGTACAAACTTTTAATTAACACGAATTTATATTTGTTAATAATTTTCTGACATTCCAGCAAAGCGATATTGCCAAATGCTCCGTGAAGAAACAGGTCACACTTTACTTAGCGACCTCATAGAATTCGAGGGATCTCATCAAGAAATCAAAAGGATATGCACGGAGATCTTGCAAACCACAGAGATCAGCGTCTAGGGCAAAACGGGAAAACAGCGGGGAATACATTTCCCCTATTTTGCGAAATACGTCCAAGTGTCGAAATAAAATTTGAAAATGGGTGACCTAAATTGGGGAGCGGCTGCACAAGGATCCCATTTTTGATCCGGATCCAACTTTTGAATTGGAGATACTTTTATAAAGATTTTTCTCCTACAAAAAAAAAATATTTGCGGGTGTGTTAAGTATGGTGCAGAACTGGACTTTCATGTCCAATGGATGATTTCATATAGCTTTTTTTTAACATCAAAACAAAGTACACGTACCGTTGACATCAAATTAGAAACGTCATTGTGTTAAATAAATTAAAATTGACAGAAATTATATTAAGTTATACATGTTTGGTGGGTCTCGACTCAAGTCGGCAATGTATCGAGAGAAAATATTAAAAAAAGCTCGACTCATAGTTTTCGTGAACATTGCAAAGATGGTTTGGCTTATGAGAAACACCCCATTGGATATTATTCTTCAGCTTCACTGCCAGACTTGGCCACAATTTTTTTAAAGAATCAAGGGGAAATTAATTAATGTTCATCAGCTTAATACAAATAAACAATTTAAAATATGTTTAATATTCGATCTCAAAAATATTTGTTTTTTACCTAGAAAAGAAGACTCGCAAAACCACTTGACTATTTATTGATTACACAGTTTTGGGTTACAGCTTTAAAAAATTTTTACATCTACAAGTCTGAATATTTTTTCGACTATATATACTTAAATATTGTTAGAAGCATAATTTTTTGTTATGTTTTTTCCCTCTGAAATTGTAATTGTGCCAACAACTTGTATATTATTAATTATTATTCAGTGTTGTACAGTTTGATATATTAATTGTTAAGACCTGTGTACATTATACATATTATGATTATGTATTTGAATTATATAAAAAAAGGCTAGTCATAATAAATTGTTGAAGAAATTTCTTGTCCTTATTTATTTATTTATTGTACTTATCAGATCTAAATTGATATTGAAAATTTAGTATACTAAATAATAATAAAAAACAGGACATGTTTGAAATAAATGGTGACCAGCACATTGATTTTATATACCGATATTTCAAAAGGCTTCAATTCTGTTTCACGCTTTGTAAACAAATTTCAACATCAGACAGCGGATGGATTCGATATATCTAGCGTCAAGATCGTTACTTAAAATTAGTAGTAAGACAGTGACACAAAATAAATAGAAAATAGAAGTATTTTAGGTCACTTTAACCGCCTAAAATATGGGAGAAACACGATATAATTAAAAAACAAAAATTTAAAATAAAAATCTAAATAATGGATGTACGAGTATAATTTCATAACTTCAAATATTTAAATAAAATAACTATGAAGATTTAGCAAGCTTTAATGTTATGAATGAAGATGACTCTTAAACTTTTTGGATAATATTGTGAAGACAATAATCACTGAAGAAATGACGTTATTCTGAAAGTGCTTTGCAATAAAATTTAAATAAACAATTTTTCATGAAATACAATCTTTTTTTGCTGTTTATTTGTATCTACTTTGATTTACTTTTTAGTTTTCGATCATATTTTTTTGGTTATTTCAATTTTTGTTTCGTGTCTACCGGTTGGCACGCGGGCTTACGTTTAAAATTACTTTGTGGGACAGTCCACCCAATTCTTTTTTTTTTCTTGAAATAATTGCCTTTATTGTTTGTAGCATAGATAGATGTCGAAAATATTTTAGTTGTAGAAGACACAATTTTTTAAGTATATGGCGATATAGCTTCTGCTTTATGATTTCAGTGCTACTAAACTTTCATTTTTTTTTGTTAATAATTGAATAGATAACATGTTCAATGTGTTTAATTTAATTTTAAATATAATAATAATAGTATGGTTTATACGAATTGGTCTAATACCTGCACCGTTGATGATATGTGTTAATCTTGCATATAAACCGTACTATATATCTATTAATTCTGATATTAAATTTTTTAAACAAATTTTAATGAATCATTCCAATTTAATTTGACCTAAAACCACATAAATTTACAAATCATTTAATTTGTTCATATTTCAGGCGTCTAGTTATTGCAGCCTTTTTTTGGTTATTTTGTACAACCGATTGTATCACCCCTGTAAATATTCATAGTGAACGAAAATACTGAAAAATTCAAATTTTTTTACTTTTCCTCAAACTTTTCCATTACGGTCCATTTTAGAATCATAATGATATATGGAATAAAAATTATAAAGAATGATATGAACAATTTTCTTAAAAATTAGAATTTTGAACTTTTTGTCAAGTTTCTCGAATGCGGACCATTTTATGTATAGAACAAAAATTATAGAGAATACTATTTCAAGCAACTTTTATTTAAACAATTTTCTTCTCCAAGCGTAAATAACAGATATATTCCATAAAGTAGAAAAACATCCTTCTATAAAATACCTCCCAGATGTTCCGACTATATCCAAAATTTTATCAGCATTAAAGCTTAAATTTATAATTTGGTGTATTCCTCTTATTCCGTTTTTGAGTTATCTTCAAAATTAATTTTGACTTTTTCTCAAATTTAGAGAAATTATGTATATGACAAGAATTATAGAGAATTACATCACAAATAACTTTTATTTGAACAATTTTCTTAAAAATTTTAAGTTTTTACTTTTTATCAATTTTTTCATATACGGACCATTTTAGGAAAATTTTGTATACTGCAAAAATTATAGATAAACAACTTTTATTTGAAGAATTTTCTTCTCCAACGTAAATAACATATATTCAATAAAATAGAAAAACAACCTCCTATAAAGTACTCCGCAGATGTTCCGACTATTTCCATAAAATCTAATAGCTCACCGCAGCCCTAAATAAAGCTTAAGTTTAAAATTTGTTTTTTTTTCTCTGTATCCGTTTATGAGTTATCGAGTGTACAGACACACCCACATGCATCGTCGCGAAAATAGTCAAAATAGATGCAAGGGACCCCAAAACGTAAAAATCCGTCGAAAACTCGAGGTCGAAAAAATCATGATTCAAGATTTGAGACATTTTTATCAGAGTAGATGTAAGACGTATCATCTGCAAACAATATACAGAATTATAAATTCGTATAAAACTAGGTTAGTCATTAATATAAATGATAAATAACAGAGGGCCAAGAACAGATCCTTGTAGAACACCATGTTTAATTAAATTAAAGTCGGACTTCAAATTATTGTAGACTACACTCTGATATCGATTTTTTAAATACGATTCAATTAGTGATATGACGTCCCTCTAACACCGTAATACTACAGCTTTTCTAATAGAATGTTGCGAGAGACACAGTCGCGAAAGTCTTCGAGAGATCGCACAGTTTAATACCTGTATGTTTCCACCTTCAAAGCCCCCGACTATGCCGTTCACAATCTCTAGAATAGCGTGATAAGTTGAACGTCCTTTACGGAAGCCATATTGGAAATTGGTAAAAAAATTATATTCTTCAAAGTAGTCATATCAAGTTTTCTATTATTTTGCTAAAAATAGATATGGAAATTGGACGAAATATATCCATTTGTTTAGTACCTATATTTTATTTTTAATGTAGTCGCAAAACTTTAGAAAACTTAAAAGCGTCTGAAAAAATGCCGGTATTAAAAATTAAATTAATCACAGTAGTAAAAGGGGTATTCCAATAATATGTGCCGTTCTTTAATGACAAAGCTGTTAAGTTCATTTGCATCCAGACAATTGGAGTTTTTTTAGATGAGCAGTTGTATTTATAACTTCTTCAATTTCTTCATTTGTTGTTGATAATAAAAAGAAATAATTACAAGGGGCTGGGAAATGTCTAAAAGTTAGTAAATCAGTGAATAAAATTGCTGGTAATAACCACCGGTAGGCCCACGGGGCTCAATGTGTGTATTATAACCACCTTCTCTAAGTGCTAACTTTAAGTAGCGATAAAACGATTATTCTTACAAAAATCTGATGTGTCCAACACATGACTTTCCTATCTAGTTATTACAAGCTTTTTCCGGTTATTTTGTACAACCTATTTGCATCACCTCTGTAAATGTTTAGAGGATAAACTAAATATATACATTTTCCACATACATCTAACTCGAAACATTTTTCTACAGATATTCATTGAAAACGAAAATACTGAAAAATTTAAATTTAGCACTTTTCCTCCAATTTTTAAATTACGGTCCATTTTAGAAAAATATAAAAAATTTTAGAGATCGATATCGCAAACAACTTTTAGTTTAACAATTTTCTTAAAAATCAGCATTTGGTAAATTTTGTCAAATTTCTCGAATACGGACTATTTCAGGAAAATTTGGCATAAAAAAATTATAGATAATAATATTAGAAGTAACTTTTATTTGAACAATTTTCTTTTCCAAACATAAATAACATATTATTCCATAAAATATAAAAACGACCTCCTATAAAGTACTCCCCAGATGTTCCGACTTTGTCCAAAATCTAATCATTTTACCTCAGGCCCAAATAAAACATTAAGTTTAAAATTTAATGTTTTTTATCCGTTATTTTGTCAAATTTCTCGAATACGGACCATTTTAGGAAAATTTGGTACAAAACAAAAATTATAGATAATAATATTGTAAGTAACTTTTATTTAAATAATTTTCTTCTCCAAACGTAAATAACATATATTCCATAAAATATAAAAATGGCCACCTATAAAGTACCCCCCAGATGTTCCGACTGTGCCCAAAATCTAATCAGTTCATTGGAGGGCGGAATAAAGCTTAAGTTTAAAATTTGGTGTTTTTCTTTGTATCCGTTCATGAGTTATGGTGGATACAGACACACACAGACAGACATCATCGCGAAAATAGTCGAAACGGATTCAGGGGACCCCAAAGCGTAAAAATCCGTCGAAAACTGGAGGTCGAAAAAAATCATGATTCCTATATACTTTCCTTATCTGTATACAGATTGGAAAGTAAAAAAGCATCAATTCGAATTATGTAGATTGTAGGTAGGTATTACAGAGAAAAATTAAAAAATTGATTGATATATTTTATAATCTCTCTACTTACAAATTACACAAGACAAATTTGCTCCTAGAAAATTAGCATTCAAATTCGGCCACTTCTGGTAAAATAGTTAAGATCACAAAAATAGGGTAGCAAAGATTTAATCATCTCTATAAATCGAGAAGTTTTAGGTTTATCTCGTTTTTGTTTTCATTAAAACATAAGTATTTTACATCAACTATAAAAAAATAGAATCAATTTATTATAAACACATAAGCTGTTACCTAGGTATTTATTTGTAGATTTATAGTTTTTTATTTCAAATTTGCCGCTTCTCTTTATTGAAAACAATAAAACAGTACTGGTAATATGACGGTAAAAAAATCGCTAAGTAATTAACACAATGAAACCTTTTTCCATCACGGCTAAAAACATAATTTTTAAGCTTATTCAAACATTTCTGCACTTGAAAATATAATAAGAATGTAGCAGAGACACGTATGCAACAGCACGAAACATAATTTAGTTGTTCCTTTATCGTGAAAGATAAAAAAATCAAAATCAAAACAAGATTGAAATAGGAGGGGTAGCAAACTGATGAGTCATTTAGGGAAATTTGCTTCCGTCAGGTTTGGTGACGTAAAAGTGTCGGGACACGCGCAGATCTCGTCGGGATTCGTTCGGCCGATCCCCTCTCAGTCGTTTCGGGTGCTCCATGTTTCTCGTTTCACAGTGCGGACCTGAGAACTGCACAAAGCGCAATGTATGTGCGCCATTGCTGTGGAGAAGAGCTACGAAAAGTTCTATCAAAGTATATTCGGTTTTCACGTTACAAACCGACTTTAAATGCAGAATAACGTAACAGAATTAACACAGAGATTGCTACGTTCACTGGACAGTAATTATAATGTAAGGAAATCAAGGATTAATTGGTTTTTCGTGAATTTTGTGAACACCATTAGGGTATATTCATAAACCAGGTGGACTGTACTGTATACGTTATCCCTAGAGTGGCTAATAAATATTCATACTATATTTCTATTAACTAATTTTTTATTTCTAAACCTTTTTCATCACGATTGACTCAAATTTTAATATATTTTTCTAACGAAGGAGTTACAATTTCGCAACGTCAAAGTGCTTGTTTTACATAAGAAGACATTAAAGTGTTTAATATTTCACGAATTTCCTATGCTATGATACCAATAATGGCTCAGACGATAACTAAGTCGTTTTTTCAGTTAATTTAACGTGTTTTTACTTTTTTGGTCGACCGTTTAAGATGTTAGTCAAGTGACAAATTTTGTAAGGTGCCACCAGTACAATTCACCACACAGGGTGTTCCCTCGCGTACGTAGACAGGACGTTATTATTAATTCTTTATTTATTTTAAGGTCGTCGATATGCCCGCAGTCATTGAAATCATATCCCTCTTGGAAAAAGTGGCTATTACCAAAGAATTACTGGAGGTGAGACATTTTATTATGCATCCATTTTCAAACTCTTATCGCCCAAAAATAAAAAACCTGAATTTTTAAAGCTTGTTTTAAACCCGACAGGTAAGGGTTTGTTATTATTTTTAATATAATTAAAATAGTCTTTTAGGCAACTTTTAAAATCAACATTTTGGCTGTTAATAGTCTTTTGATCGAACTGATGGTTATTAGAGCCGACCCTCTTTATCATGGTTTAAATCCTCAAGTTTTGATTTTTTTCTAAGTCACTGACTAGTTAGTATAAAAAAGATCATTTTCCAAGATACTTGGAATCATACAATAAAGTTATTAATTTTAAGGAAACCACAAATCAACAAACAGCATAAAATATGATTATTTAAAAAAATCAACACTATTTTAATTCAGTAATCTAATTGTGACTACTTTTATTATTATTTATCTCTCTAATTTCTATAGCTATCAAAAGCTTTGTTACATTAATGTATAACATCTTGTCATCTTGTTTGGTAAACTGCACATACTCATTAAATTTTATTTAAGTCATTATGTAAATCAGATAATAACAAAATTAAAAAAAAAATAATTTAATGATACAAATAATATTGGTGAATGAGTTAGAAAAAAGATTAGCCATATTCTTACTAAAGTCACTGAAACATCAGCAGTCTGTGTACCTCAGAACAAAAATTAAATGGAACTTGGTAGTCGTATATTGTATAACTATAGATGTTTAACAGTCTCTCTTTGCATATTAAAATAATAAATGAATAATTACTTTGTAATTAGTAGTGAACTTTATAATTCAAATTATTGTTTTGGCCATATTTGTTATATATATCTAAAATAGGGGTTTCTTGAAGTTTTTACAATAATTTATTGTAAACCCTACTACCATTTGTTTATGGTACTCTCCAAATTTAGTTTTTGTGGGAAAATAAGTGTTTTAATTTTTTATGAGCCCTGTCCTGCATCAATTGGCACACTTCTCAAATTTTTAGTGACTGGAACTTTTCTACAAGAAATCATACATTAATCTGATTAAATTAGTTTACAATTTATTTGAATTAGATTTAATTTGAAAGGAGTTGGATATTATTTGTCCTTGTTCACTGTCACCTTCTCAGATCTATTGTGGGACTCTTGTCATTTAGTATATCATCTAGCTTGTTTTTTTTTATTATTCTTAGTAGTTTTGACAGTTTCACATTGAGTTACAGGCATCTGTCTTTTCTTCACCTAGTGTTAGAAACCTTAATCTAGCCAGGCTTTTACATTGGCACAGGACGAGGATTGATGTTTCTTCTTCACTCAACTGGCACACTGTTGCTTCCTCTACTGAATTGATGACATTCATGTGTTTTCTTAGGCGACAGTTCTTAAGAGCAATAGTTTTGCCTGATAATTGCTGATTATTTATTTCTCTTGCACAGTGGTTGTATGGTTATTAGTTCAGCCTGAAACACTAGTATATTCTCTTAGACTCAACTTCACTCCAAAGATTCCAGTACCGGCTCTTTTCCAAACCAATAAAAGTCATATATCAAATATTTTGGAAAATGTAAATATTTACAAAATTTCACTACTTTAGCTTTAATAACAGCAATAATTTTTTAGACATTGTGTTTATAAGCTCTTGAGAATATTGTTCAATGAACACACTCTATATTTCTCAAATATTTGCTTTTAATTCTGATATTGTAGTTGCTGCACACAACTGCTTTTTCATTTTATGTTCTTATGTCTCTATGGGCTGTTTGACATCCATTCTAGCAGTGGAGTATTATCATTAAACCATTTTAACACTTTTTTTTATGTACCTATGACATGATAAATTACTTAAATTGCACTATCTGTGTATTCTATATAGTGTATCTAATACATCAAACTATATTTTTGTTTTCTTGTTTACAATCTTATACCAAAATTGTTATTTTTTTTTTATCAAATAATTTTGAAAAATAAAGCATATAGTAGTGTTATAATATATGTTTTGCTGAATATTTTTGATACAAAATAATGTTGTTTATTCATTAAATTCTATACCTACTTCTCCTTATCTATTTTTCTTTTTTTTTTCGTGTTTTTCTAATGGTTACATTACTCAACATTAAAAATTTAAACAACTGCAGTTATGCGAACATGATCCTCATGTTTTTGTTAAATTTTAGAAATGTATCTACAATATTTAAATATTTTAAAATTTATTTCATTAAGGACTTTCTAAAAATATAAATAACCAATTTGTAGTAGTAGTAAATTTATTAAAAGGATTTAAATAAGTAATTTGTCAAAAGTCAAAAAAATGTTTTCAAATTCATTTTTGAAATATAGAAATAACTCAAATTACTGAACTTGAAAAATGTCAATCAGTGCATTTCTTTGAATTTAAACTGTTAATGGAGTCTCTAGTTACCAAATTTTAAAGCTTTTAACTTATACTCTTACAAAAATTCACTTCCCTTTTCACCACCACCTTAGCTGGGTTTTCTCAAACGAATAGAGAACATCTTTCTTTATTTTGAAGGTTCAAAATACAACATTTCATCTATACAAGTTTGTTGTTCTTTTTTCCTTTTAAGATGTAAATAATGATATTCTGTCAAGTAGAGTGTAGACGAAAGATCAATAGTTCTTTGGCAGTTGCATAGGTTGTAAACATCGAACCCCATCAGCTATTTATTATTTATTAAACTATTTACATGTATATGTGAAATTGTGATAATAATTTAATATGCAACTTCTTAGTTCCGCAGCAAAACTGTCAAATCATGTGTATGAAGTGTGAGAACTGCGAATGAACCGTTCACATTCTGTCTGCCTTCTAACAACCACAATTAATTTTTATAAAGTAAAATTTGGCAAGTTTGTCAGGAAAACAAACTATTTTAACAAGAGATGCCTTTATAACTTCATTTTTAACTGAATATAAAAATAAAAAAGCTTTTATCCAACAATGTCCTGTAAATTAATTTAAGATAAATATTGTATTTGGAAATTTAAAAAATGTTTCCTAATAATAAAATAACTTGGTTCTGTTTACCCAACACTTTTGTTGGTAGTTCTCTTCAAAATGAACAAATTGCAATTATCTTTCTCCTAAAATGACTATATGTAGTTTAATTGTAATGGTGCCATGTCATCTAATATGCATAGTAATACAGGGTGGCCAAATATATTTGAACCCACTATGTGTACCTCCTAAAGTATTTGAAATATCAATTCCCGGCTTTCACTGGACAATTTTAAAAATATTTTTTTGCTTATTGAGTATTATGATATTTTTCAGATATAAAGCAATTTTTTTGTTTTATTTTCTAAAATGGATCATAATTTTCATTGGCAATGAATAATATATAAAAAATATTTCAAGTAAAATGTGTGAGGAAAATGTATGTATTTAAAAATTTACAGGTGTGATACAATAGGTTGTCCAGAATAACCAAAAAAAGCCTATAATAACTTTAGGCAAGATAGGAAAGTCATGTGTTGGACACATCAGATTTTTTAAATCTGGGGAAAAATAAATTTGAGTTATCAGAGATACTGTGTGAACATTTTTAGGAATAAATAAAATTATTCTTTAATTTTAGATTATTTTGATGGATTTTCTTTGCCCTCAAAATTAAAAGTTAAAAAACAAGAATGTAAATATGGCAATGTGACAGGCAGTGGCGGCTCGTGGCCAAGATTGGGGGTTTAAAATGACAGAATATAGATCTCAATACAGATTTAGGTAAAAAACTTTCAATGTTTATAATTTACCTTCCTAAAACGCTGAACCCCCAATATTTTGATCACGAGCCGCCACTGATGAAAGGTGTAAAATTCAATTTCTAAATGTCAGTGCAGAGTGGTGTAGCCTGCATAAACTACAAAATGACCTTACGGTGTTAAATGTACCTTGTATATTGGCTGAACAAACAAGCATTCGAAAAGGTTGCCCTCAAGGCTATTATTTGAACTATTTTTCTTAGTCATTTAACTTGTGAGTTACTCCCGACTCCATTAAGGGATTTCACACAGCACACAATAATTTTTATTTTCCAAAAGTCCTGCAAATGCTCGTGCACACTTGCACAGAAATTGAGCGGCTACCGAAAATATTTATTATTTTCACAACAGTTATTTTCACTGATTCTTATTGTTAGTCACAGTTTTTCAAGCAAACTTCTAATAATACACTAGTTCTTGAAAGTTCTATAATGAAAAATATGAAACTGTTATGTTGGGCATTCACATCTACTTCTGAAATGTTGAGTTTATTTTACTTCTTTATTGGAATTTAATCACTTAAGCACGATATTATTAAATTACACTCATTTATAGTCTCAGAATACAACCGCGATCGCCGGCGCTTATCAATATCAACTCATTTAATTATTTATCATGGTTCAAGCAAGTCTGTCTGTTATTTCATATGTCGCCTTCGTTGTTCGATGTCGCGACGGGTAAATTTAAATACAAATTAGGAGCCAACAAATGAAAATTCTGAAAAAAAAAAAACATGAAAAATGGAATTGTGGATGTCTAGGTAAAGTTGTAATAGAGAATGTACTAACATGCTCCCTGATTCAGGTGAATGGCCATATTGTAAACATTCAAATATTTGAGAGCTTTATTGTAATATTTATAAATAGGTACTTGCAATTTCACCACCAAATATGCACTTCTTGTTCATTTTGTGGTGTTGTTTTTAATTGTGTTATTAATTATAAAGTTTTTTTTTTAATGAAAATTTGGCACACCATCATAAGGGTGGAAGTGGTGAATCATTATGTTAGATAGTAGTTAGGCTTAATAATATTAATCAATATTAACCACTCCCGAAATACTGATACCTTTTCGATCGAAATCACTACAATTTCTGTGGAAATTTCTGAAATCATGGTCAAAATCACTTCGAAATAAAGGTCGACCAAATATCAAGTAGAGAGCTCTCGAAAAGTCATTTGAAAATTCAAGAAAACAATTTATAGAGAAATCATAGCAAATTAGATGCAGTGATTTCGCCGAAATCGTATAAAAATAAGGGCGATTTCGGCAAAATCACCAAAATTATATGAATTTTAGGTGTTTTTCGAAATACAGGTACGTTTTGACCTTAGTGGTTTACCCCTAGATTGCTTTATACATATTAGAAGAGTATTTCTATCGATTTTAATTAAAAATAAAGGTTATTGGTCTCCAAAAATTATCTTTGTCATATTAGAGCATGATAAATATATTTAAAATATTTCAAAATTCAATAAAAAATACTTCTTACCCAGGGTGTCCAGATAAAGGTCCGATTTAGGAGGATTATGTAATATAATTAGGTACTAGAAAAAATAATTAGGCGCCCTTTTAAAAGTTATCACTTCTATAGGATGTTATAGAACTAGAAGGCAATCATTTTTTAATCCGAGAATACTTTGAAATGTATTTTTAATTCAAATGTGCTGATTGTAAAAATAAAGATTTTTATTTTTAAATGAACAAAAGGAAAATTACATTTTCGCTAAAATCATAAACTGTGTTAAAAACGACTATATATGAACTGAAAAAGAGCAGGAAAAACTTTTTTATTTTCATCATTTCGAAAAAAATGTTATTCTTCATAAAAGTTTTTGCTTGTTTCAAAGTAACATTAATCCAAACAGAAGTTGAATATTTCTTTGCTTTAGTGAAATGAGGACAAAAATTAAATAAAAAAACAAAAAAAATGTTTGTCCTTATTTCACAAAAGCAAAGAGATATTCAACTTCTGTTTTAATTATTATTTTTGAAACAAGCAAAAACTATAAGGAATACAATTTTCTGCAAAAGTCGAAAATAAAAAAGTTTTACATATTTTAGAGTGCATCTGGTGAAATGGGAAAAATTTCTGCATCACTTTTAGATCCATATTCCAGTATCAAATTGTAAAATATTAGGAGATATACCAATCTATAAGGAAAAAAAATGGGTTGGTTCACTCTTGGGGCTAGGGCAGTTTGGGTATATTGATGTATATGAAAATCACAAAAAATCTCGCCCACCCCTCAGCTGATATGAAGGGGGCGTCATCTTCAAAAAATTAAGTTAAACCAAAGAGTTTTTAAACAAAACTGAACATTCATTTTGTATTATATAATTTACCAGCGACGCATCGTAAAAAATTCATTGAAAGAAAATGCGGCATGACCCCTGAAAAAATATCACCCTGTAGATTTTCACAACCATTTGGCATGCTCATATCCATTCTACCTAGTAAAAACACTGCACGGGTACGAATTCCACCAATCATTAATTATTGTCAGTATATATTTTTACTTTCCTATCTGTATACAGATATAAGGAAAGTATAGGAATCATGATTTTTTTCGACCTCGAGTTTTCGACGGATTTTTACGTTTTGAGGTCCCCTGAATCCGTTTTGACTATTTTCGCGATGATGTCTGTGTGTGTGTGTGTGTGTGTGTGTGTGTGTGTGTGTGTGTGTGTGTGTGTGTGTGTGTGTGTGTGTGTGTGTGTGTCTGTGTGTGTGTGTCTGTGTGTGTGTGTCTGTATAACGCATAACTCATGAACCGATACACAAAAAAACACCAAATTTTAAACTTAAGCTTTGTTTCAGCGTCCAATGAGCTGATTAGATTTTGGGCAGAGTCGGAACATCTGGGGGGGTACTTTGTAGGTGGTCATTTTTATATTTTATGGAATATATCTGTTATTTACGTTTGGTGAAGAAAATTCTTCAAATAAAAGTTACTTCTAATATAATTATCTATAATTTTTGTTTTATGCAAAATTTTCCTAAAATGATTCGTATTCGAGAAATTTGAGAAAATGTAAAAAAAATAATTTTTTATAAAAATTGTTCAAATAAAAGTTGTTTGTAATATAATTTTCTATAATTTTTGTCCTATACATAATTTCTCTAAAATGGACCGTATTCGAGATATTTGAGAAAATGTGTAAATTTCGAAATTTGAAGAAAACTCAAAAACGGATAAAGGAAAAAACATTAAATTTTAAACTTAAGGTTTATTTCGGCCTGACGTGAAATGATTAGATTTTGGACAAAGTCGGAACATCTGGGGGGGTACTTTATGGGAGGCCGTTTTTATATTTTATGGAATATATCTGTTATTTATGTTTGGAGAAGAAAATTGTTCAAATAAAAGTTACTTCTAATATTATTATCTATAATTTTTGTTCTATGTCAAAATTTCCTGAAATGGTCCGTATTCGAGGAATTTGACAAAATGTGCAAAATTCTGATTTTTATGAAAATTGTTGAACTAAAAGTTGTTTGCGATATCGATTTCTATAATTTTTGTTTATATATGATTTTTCTAAAATGGACCGTAATGGAAAAGTGCTAAATTTAAATTTTTCTGTATTTTCGTTTTCAATGAATATCTATAGAAAAATGTTTCGAGGTAGATGTATGTGGAAAATGTATATATTTAGTTTATCCTCTAAACATTTATAGAGATGCTGCAATAGGTTGTACAAAATAACCGGAAAATGCCTATAATAACTAGATAGGAAAGTCATGTGTTGGACACATCAGATTTTTGTTATTGAGATTAAATATAATTAAAAATGGGTGGTTCTTGTGAAGAATCGATAAATAATAGAATTTCACAAGATATTCGTCCATATATATTTACAAATTAATCATAAATTTTAATAAAGCAACTATATAAAATCAATTTTAATTATGAGTAATAAAATATGTCTCAATAGAGCTGAGGGTAGCATAGGTACTGAGTTGCCATGCAAAATGAAGACTAATTAAAAATAATCTTTTTTTTTTAAGTTTAATTTTATTTTATAAATTAGTAAAAGTCATAAATAATTTATTAAATATTTCATATTTTTAAATTAGTTAGTTATCTTAATCACCTAAAATGTATTTTAAAATTTATAGATATTCATTAGCGGGTTGTAGAAAAAATATACTGTACAACTCGAGTGTATTGTCCGTATCGCACTCAGACGATTGAGCCTATGGCGTCGTACTCAAACTTCGTTCTTCGTGCGATAGGCCATCATATTTACTCTTGTTGCACAAACTACTATTGTCAATATTTGGTTTATTTTGTCTATTACCGATTTTTTTTTTCAAATAGTTTTGAATTCAAATATATTAAATCTTTTGAGTACAAAAATTTTGATTCATATTTATTGCAGTAATTTTTCTGCTTAGTATGTCTAAAAACATGACAATTTTATTTGAATTTAATATTTATCATTGTTTTTGTTCTGTTTAGACCACCAGATTGGGCAAATACATAAACGAACTGAGAAGAAAAACCACAAATGACTCTTTATCAAAACGGGCCAAAGAGCTGGTGAAAAAATGGAGGAACGCCGTCCTGCCGGAATCCAACGGTCAGCTGAAACAGAGCCCCCCTTTGCCTTCGACCTTACTGCTGAGCCAAGAAGACGTCAACTTGAACCAAATTAAGACGAAGAAGCGGCCCCCTAAGGACTCTGTAGACAATATAAATCCCAAACGGATCAAATTGAATGGAGGTATATCGGAGCTGGATTTTTCCGACAATTCCAATTCGAGTTTCAAAGATGTGATAGCTACAGCGAAAACGGAACCAAAACGAGATGTGATCATTATTAATTCAGATTCAAATTCTAGCATGCCCGAAAAACACGACCCGCCCTTAGATCAACAAATGCCGAAGAAGAGGGGACGGAAAAAAGGCTCGAAAAACCACAAGAATCTTATAGACGAAGCTGAGAGTTCGTTTACGAGCAAAATGGCCGTCTCTAGGGGCAATCTCAAGGTTAAAACTACTCAAGAACTGGTGGCTAGTCTTCAAAAGAACTCCAGTTCGATGCTGAATTCAGTGGTTAAGTCCAAAGAGGATCTTAATGAGAAAGCAGCTAAGCTAACTGAAAGGGTTTCCATAATTGACCAGCAGCTGAATACGAATGCTAATAGGAACAAGAATTCTCAACGGAGCAAATTCAAGCTGGAGAAGACCGAGAGGGTCATTGAATCAGGATCTGTGATTAACGATAAGAGCCTTTTAGTACAGGAATCTCCCGTCAAGAAGGAAGAAGATGAAGACGTGATTGTCGATAATGATGAAGAGGAGGACGAGGATGAGGACGATGATGATGCGGACAAGAAATCTAAAGAGGAGAATCAAGAGACTGAAAATTCCAATTTTATAACTGCGCTGAGCGTGGAAGATGCCTTGGCTCAACTTCCTCCTATTGACAAGTCTGTTCTCTTTGAAGATGATGTTGTGCAGTGCACATGCATCTTAAAAGAGAACAAATCGGATTTCTCGGTAGCAGAGGAGGAAGCCGACATTGATTTGGAGAATAGATTCGAATTTATAGAGGATTATGACTGCCGCGCCAAGTCCCATTTGAGCGAGAAGTACCATCTAGGCCACGTGACGGATGAGATGATTGAGCGTTTACACGACACTTTCGTACCAAATTTTAATGGGAATCACAGCATGGGGCCATCGGGATCGGGGCCGGAAATGCAAGAGAACGGATTGTTTGTTAATGTAGTGCCTAATGTAAATATAGAAAGTATACCGAAAGATGTCAAAGACTTTACTGGTGAAAATTTTAGTAGGTATAGTTTTTCAGAAAACGTTAAGAAGGAGGTGGAGGAACGGACAGGAGATGATGAGGTGCCTGTTAGTGATAATAAATGTTTTAGAGAATGGCACGAGGTAGTTGATGCGCCGTCGTACCAAGGCGAAATTTTAAAAATTTTGCCCTATGTTATTATCGATTGAAAATGCTAGTCCTTTATTATTATTATTATTATTATTATTATTGAATGAATAAACTTGAATTTTTTGGTTGAATGCTCGAATGCTATCTACTTTGTTCTCTCAAGTTCTATTCCCTCTAAAAATAGGTAATTTTCTTCTTTTATATCAACTACATATTGCAAGAATGTTCATTAAAATGTATTAACCTGATAATCTTTGATACATGTTTAGGTCATTCAGACAAATCACATTCTCATGATCTGTTAAAGTTTACCAGGCTTATAAATTATAATGAATGTTTGTTTTAGAGTAATGGCGGTTATTACAACTTTTTGAATTAAATTGATAGCATTTGTCATACAATGTGACCTTCTTGTGGACTACCATATTGAAGAAAATTGTTAGTTTATTCAATAAAACTATATTTGCATTATTTATCTAATTTCTGTTTTTCTTTGTACAAGTGCCCAACACACAGTTATCATTTTCCATGTCAATTTTTATTGACCATTTTATTTATGGCTGACACACAGTTAATATCATTATCCATATAGATTTTTTACTTATTGACCATTTTTTGTTGTTTCAACAGTGCCTAAAGGTCTGATTATGATAAAGCATTGCCTAAGTAGGTACTAATCTAAAATGTCAGTACTTTACTGTAAAGTAGTTTCTACCCATTGGCAACGTTATTATTTTTATAATATCAGTGATATCAAATTTACGATTGTCATAAATGAAACATTTGACATTAGAAACCAAATACAAGAAAACTTGACATTTTTGCCCAAGTATTATAAATAGTGATTCACAAAAACAATTTCGTAAAGTAGTCTATGACCGACAAAGCTAGAGATACGAGCCATGTCTGTGATAACTATGCAAGGCTGATTAAATCTAAACTGACATTAAACAAAAAAAAAAGATGTATGTGAACTTTTTGAAGACCTACTTTAGAAACATTTTTTGTGGATCACACCATTCTGAAAAGCCAAAGTTCCTATGTATACCTAGCCTTTTTTAAAACAATCTCAAAAATTATATTAGGTTTGTTCCTACAGCAGTACAGAGCAGAGTTTTTAGAATCTGGCACATATGCAATTTCAAATCTACTTTTGTTTCTATTTTCCTTAGACTAGGAAAGAGAGGGGACTCGTAACTCCAATATGCGATCGTTTGACGTCATACAGAATATCTGACGTAACTGGAAATTAATTAAATTAACATTGTCTTTGTTTTAATAACCCAAACAGAGGAAATCTAAACCAGACAATTAGTAATAAAAATATATAACTAATTGTGTGTTATGCCACTAAACTTTACTGGGTTATTGAAGATCATTACGATATTCAGCGTTTTCAAGGTTTTAATGAAAATATCAACTGTTTACCCTCAAATTTTGATAAATAATTATTCTTTAGATTATATTAAATTCAAACTTAGTACGATTCATTTGAAATATAACTAGTTTAAAAATATTTTTAGTTTTACAGTCGTGTTATTTACTTGTCTAATATGTTTCACCTGTGAAATGTAATGTATTTTTATTTTTTTCACTTAGGCTTTTACAGCCACAAGCTTAACACACTATCATTGTAATCACTCAATAGAAACCCTGTCTGTACTCTTGGTAAAAATCTTAAAATAACGCAAATCGCATCAAAAAAATGGCGACTGGTTGAAATTGCAATCCTCTGCATCGGTTTGAAAAAAGAGTTAGGCATCCACTCTCTTTTGTGTCCATTTTTCCAAGTAGAAAGCAGAATACTGCAAATATAAAATAGAAATAGGAACAAATCTATTTTATTGCTTAAGAACCAGGTTAAAAAATTTGCATGAGTACTAGTTTTTAAAATTGATGAATAAAATAGGGCTAGAAACCTAATATACTTCGTTTTTAAAATTTAAATTGTTACATTTCTGAACATTCTCAAGTTAGTATACAGTGCTGCGAAGATCAAACTTTAAGGCCTGGTTTGCTTGTGTTGAAGTGAATATTAAATGGCATTTGCGTATGAAGGAGAAGAAACGATATAGTATCCATATTGCCAGCAGTGACTCGACCTGCGACTGGCAACATCGTTTCTTCTCCTGCATATGCGAACTCTATTTTTATAATTTACTTCAACACAAGCAAAACAGACCTGAAGGTTTGATTTGCCAGCACTGCATATATTATCCAAGTACCTACTAATTCCAGCATGGGCTGTTTTAGTTACAATGATCTATATACAGTAGTTTTAAATAAACAGTTCTCTTTATTTTCAAATTTTGGCCTTGGAACAACATTGAACAATAATTTTGAAAATTAACGAAAAAATTGAACTGTGTGTGATAGGCTTTTGTACTGTTGCCTTCTTTTATTCTCAAATGGCAGTTAATTTTATTGCCCTGTTACCCCCTAATAAAAATGATTCCTCCGACATTTGAAAATTGAAATAACTAAGAATATTTATTTATTAATTGCAGTCCAATATACAAAATATCAACAGATTAATGTTCACAATTTTATTGGGAACACTTTTTTAATTTACAATGGTATGTTGATAGCCATATTATGTAAGTAGAGAATTGACAAAATAGGAGAGAAAAGAAAAGTTATATCAATATTATTTTTAATTGCGACTGATTTCGAAGTTCGAAATTACTTCATCTTCAAACACACCATAACAAATCCAATATTGTCTCAGCTGGTTTGGTATAATTCATTACAATAATGCAAGTATATTATAACATTTAAGTAAGCAACATAATTTTATTATATATTCATGCAGATACATTTTAATGAATTTTACGGAACTAGCTGGATCAATAATGGAGTAACTCCTGTATTTGTCATTTTTAAAATTACAGGTTTACCAATTATAAAAAATCATTTTGTGATTGATATTTATCGGTTGTTGGATGATTTAAACCACTCTGAATCTTATTTTGTGACTTATTTTTTTTAGATTATAACAAGGTCAGTTACATAAGTAACTTGTCTAGCTCTAATGGCCTTATACAACTACTTTTTTAGTTCATCTTGTATACATTGAATTTAAATTTGTTTTTCACTAATTAAGTATATAAAAAGGAGCGTTTAGCCAGTTAGAAGTGCCTTTAAAAGACTAATAATCTTGAAACATTTTATACGTAGTGTTTAGTGAAATTAGGAAACAAATTATCAGTTGGACTGAAAAAAAAATTATTTTGATTTTCAAATGTTTTACTCTCTATTTCGAAAATGTATCGTCACTTTATATTGTATTATGTATTGTTCATTTCATTTATTATTTTGTTTGTTGGTTTCTGTAAAAATCTAGACTTTGAGTCATATTAATTAAAAAAAAAATTACAAGTATAGCATGTATAAACATGTATAATTTGTTAATAAACGTCAACCAGGATTTTGAAAGGGACAAATATTATTAGGTTATTATTATTGTGCTATTCAAGAGCTTTCATAATAAAATTATTTTGAAATCCCACTAACCACAGTGCAGGATTGCAATCACCTTCCAATGCTTTTTAGTGTTTTTCATTTTTTTTGTTCTAAATTTTTACGTATAGACCGTTTCTTTTTGATTTAATCTCCCTTTTATTGTCAAAGGTTCTCCATTTTTGCCTTTATTGTTATTTTCCTGGTGTTCAACTAACCACATTTAATTTTCAAGTAAAGAGATCATTAACTGTGAGTCATTAAAATGTTAATTTAACCATGTTGTTTCCCATCCAGTTCCATTTTCTCCATGGTTATTGTGATATGATTTATCTCCTGTAAAAATATAGGTGTTATTTTTAAAAATCCTGCATGTTGTGTACGCCATATGCAATACTATTACATATGCCTTTATTATTCTTAGATTAGAATTCAAGTAAAAATTAAAACAGTAACTCGCCTAGATTTTTTAAGAGCAACAAATCGTTTTATATTTGTATCAAATATTTCAAAATAAAAACCTACAGTTAAATCCAGGGTATATATATATATATTTTTGTGTATAGTTATTATTTAATTTCTATATCACAGCTTTTATAATATTGTATATATTTTATAGCTAGCAAAATGTTTTTTTTTCAACATAGTTCTATTGAAAAATACCTATCAAGTTTGTTATGACTTTGTTAATTTATTAATTTTTCTTGTTAATTTCACAATTTTTCTGTTTGCAAAAGATTGAATGGCGTAATTTGAAAAAGTTTGGTAGTCGTTAAAAAAAGAAAAAAAACTAAATTTATTTTTTATCCTGTAAAAAAATATAAATTTGCATTAATTTTAGTTTTTTTTTTTATGTTTAAAATAAGCATTCACATAATCATTAAAACTGTATTCTTTTCCATATTAAAATCGTTGACACTATAGTGTAACTACAGATTTCCCATATAAAAAAATTAAATGGTTAATTTAAATATCTTAAAAATTTCAAATCAAACATTTGCGGCTCAAAACTTTATTAAATTACGCCCTTTTTTCATTCGAAATTATTCTGGCTAGTGGACTTTTTAAATTTGAAGTTAACGTCCATTTTGACAGCTGCTGTTTAACAGAAGTAGCAAATTTCGTTATGATTGATTAATAAACAAAACTGTTTATATAAAATGGTAGCGTGATCATTTGTCTACAAATCCAAGATCGTAATCGTTAAAAACCTAAAGTGCCATAAGGGACAGACGCTGTCCGACGTTTCAATGGTCACAATGAAACGGCGTCGATTACTGTGTGGCCAAAAACTATGTCGGTCAGCAATTGCCCGACAGATGCAAGGTAAATGATACTTCGTTTGATTATGGAAATATTCCATTGCAGTATTTCATACTTGAGAAAAAATTGAGCTTTTCGGGGAAAAAAGTCAAATATTTGTCATATTATTACAAAAGTTATTAAATTATTTTACAAAAGTATTTCTTAAAAAAAAAAAAACAGGAAAATATTTTGTGTGCGTTATCGTCGGCTAGACAGATCCGGCGTGCTGGTTATGAACTGTAACACTACTTAGAGGCCGTGTGGGGCAGATGCTGTCGCGACATTTTATTTCAGAACAGTCCGAAAAGTAGATGGTCACATATTATGTTTCTACATAAAAATGAACAAATTTGTATTAATGTTATTCTTATGGATCGATTATTTTTGGTCCACTGTGGTACTTTAGGTGTTAAATAATATTTAATACATTTTGATAACTTGAAACAAGTTTTTTTAAATCGTTTTATTTTCTATTTTGCATTTTACAGAAGTAAATAAAAAGCAAGCTAATAATTCTGCTTCCTCAGTTAAAAAAATGTATAGTCACAAAGAGGATGTCTTATTGCATCAATTATCATTCTTTAGAGTTTAGCTGTTTGCAACATATCATTTTTTCTCTTTTCCAGAATTTTCAACCGTCGAAGAGTAATCGACCGTTCTAAGTTTTACTTTATTTAATTAAATTTGACGAATAAAGTGATATTTCATTGTTAGAGAATTATAGGAGGTCGCGGTCTTCACAATTGTAATAAAAAAAATTGTTCTGTAAATATACTGACAAACTTTTAGGAGTGGTAGAAGACATCAAAATCAACATTTTTTGTTTAATAAACATATTTATGTAGTAAAACGTTTTAACGATTTCAGTGACATTTATACAGCTTTTTTATGTCTTAATAAGTTATATTTTAGCCTTATTCGCATGTATGCAAAATTTCCATAGGCGTGTCCACGGGACAAATCTATTATCGAAAAAAGCGCTTTTGGATATAAGTTTATTAAGTAAACAATATTTATTTTGATGTCCCCCTAAACCCCGACAAGTTTGTCGGTGTATTTAATATATATAGATATAGTCATCCAGATGTGAATATTTTCTTTGAAAAAGAGTCCATTGATTAAAAATAAAGCTGTCAAAATTGTACAAAATTCTTTTTTTTTTTTAAACATTTATCAGGTGACTTATTAAAAAAATCCACTAGTCGATTTGGACATTTATAAATTCACAATTTTTGAATTATTTTTGTTATGTGTATTATTACCTATCCAAATCTGGTACCTACCTACTATAAAATGATCCATTTGTTTTTTTTTTGTTTAATTTTTTTCTGTAAATATAGATTTTTTTGATTATATAAAGTTATCCACTGTACAAAATTTTCGTTGATTTTTCTCTAGTTCAAAAACGTCATTAGTAACTTCTTTGACGTAATGCCTTCTGAGAGAAAATAAAGATATTTTCTATAAACATGACTTTTATTTACACATTCATTACTTATTTGTATGTATGTTTTGAGATCTTTATTATATACGCTTTCAGACTTGTCTTTTAAAAAATATCTTCATAACAATATAAATTGCGTCACACTAATATAGC